TTGTAGCTGTGTTTCTCGCGCACCTCTCTGTCACCTCACGCTCTCCTCTCCTCCTCGTTTCCTCCTCTCTTCTCATACGCGAGAAGAAACTCAATTCTCTCTCTCTCTCTCTATCTCTCTCTCTTTCAAAAGCTCTGCAAACATAGGTATGCAGCCGCTAAGAGAGAGCTCACCATTCCTCATTCTCTCTATGTTACGAGGGAGCTAAGAGAGAGCCCATCATTATCTCTCTTTCTGTAGAAACCCCATGAGCGCTCAACCCTCTCTCTCTCTCTAAAAACCCCAGGTCCGTAACCGTTTCGTCAACCCTATGCTCATCGCCTTTCTCTTGCTCTCTTTTGGGAAATCTCAGCTTTGAAGGGGAAGAGAGATCCATTCCCAGGACGCAGACGAGATACACAACTTTGAAGAAGAAGAGAGAGATCCATTCCGAGGTGATCTTATCAATAATTTTGTGCTGAGATTGAGGGTAGGTATCTAGGGCTTGCTCGTTTCGTGGATGTTATTGAAGATTCATCTGTTACGAAGTTGTGAGCGAGAAAGATGAAGGAGAGAGGGAGGATTAGGGGTAGGGTTATGCGAGTGAAGATCTTTCGCCATGAGAGAATGATCTTAAAGGCTTCATTGTAGATGCCGAGGCACCCCAAGAACTTCATATCCTCTGGTTCTCTATCCATCCACACCTCAGCTCTCTCTCTTTAACTTTCCCTCTTCACTCTCTACCCTTTAACTCCCTTGTGTTCTCTCTCTCTAGAAATATCCTTGTTTCTTTCTCTCTCTTCTTTTTGTTCTTTTTGAGTAGAGGAGGAGTGTCGGTCATGGAAGGAGATTTCGATGCATTTGCTTTGAAAGATGTCGGCCGGGAGAAAAGGGACAGAAGGCAAGCACAGTGAAATTCATTTTAAGTTTTTTTTTTTAATACATCCAAACAATTTACCAATATAATAAAGTAAAACGAGAATGTTTTTCAATTGAGATGAAAAAAACTTGTATTTTTTGAGCTCTGAATATTTTTCCTTCGACACAAATGAGGTTAAATTACACAAGCGGGGAATTACCAAAAGTGGGGTTAAATTACCTTTTTTCAAACAGTTTTCTTTTTTTTATCATATAACACAAGTGGGGTTAAATTACCAAAAAGCTCCCACTTGAAAGTTTGAAACAAGGAACACAATATCATAATGAAAACCACAATTTTCACATTATGCATCAAAAAAAAAAAAAAAGTAACAGTGATTTCATCATTGGCTTGGGATATAGTCATGATGTAAATACCATGCTTGTTCTAAGTTCCAAACTCAATATGTATATGTTTTGGGCTTAGAAACCAAAACAAACAAAAGTATTTAAGTTATTTAACTTGATAAAGAAAGGAAAAAAACCAAATGCGCCTGCAACTTTCTTAGGACACATGCGCATTGTAGTTATCCTTAAACAAAATAGTTGAGAAGGTAGTTTAGGGAAATTAAAATTTTTAAGTAAATGTTTTGTGAATAAAATTGTTGATTTGAGTACTATAATATTTGAGGTGGTCTCCGTTTAAGATATTTTCTCGAAAAGCAATTTTTACTTTTTAGCTCGGCGATAACCCATGGGATACTCTTACGGGAGTAGCTTATGCATGGTTTTTTTTTGCTAAGTCAGTAGAAGAGGGGGCCCTTACTT